CATCCATCCATCCATCATCCATCCATGCATCCATCCATCCATCCATCCATGCATCCATCCATCCATCCATCCATCCATGCATCCATCCATTATCCATCCATCCATCCATCCATGCATCCATCCATGCATCCATCCATTATCCATCCATCCATGCATCCATCCATCATCCATCCATCCATCCATCCATGCATCCATCCATTATCCATCCATGCATCCATCCATCCATCCATCCATCATCCATCCATCCATCCATCCATCACCCATCATCCATCATCCATCAATCCATCCATCCATCCATCCATCCATCCATCATCCATCATCCATCCATCCATCATCCATCCATCCATCATCCATCAATGCATCCATCCATCCATCCATCATCCATCATCCATCCATGCATCCATCAATGCATCCATCCATCCATCCATCATCCATCATCCATCCATGCATCCATCCATGCATCCATCCATCCATCCATCCATCATCCATCCATGCATCCATCCATCCACCCATTATCCATCCATGCATCCATCCATCCATCATCCATCCATAATCCATCCATGCATCCATCCATCCATCATCCATCCATCATCCATCATCCATCCATCTATCCATGCATTCCCCTATCTATTCATACCCCTACCTGTCCATCATCTATCCATCCATCATCCATCCATCCATCCATCCATCTATCCATCCATTCATGCATTCATCCATCCATCTATCCATCATCCATCATCCCTTTCTCCCTCCTTTCTCCTACTTCCCTCATCCAGTCATCCAAATACCTACTCACCTCTGCATCCATCTACCCATCCACCATCCTTCCCATCCAACCACCCAATTCATTCATCTACCTATATATCCATGCATGCACCTTCCTGCCCTACACATGCATGCATGCATGCATGCATGCATGCTTACATACATACAATGGATGCTTCTGCATGCATAGTAGGCATTGGTGATTTATCAACAGACAAGCTGGGTGCATTCACTTACTGGATGGAGGGTTTAGGTTAGGAGGAGGAAAGAAGAGATGGGAAGGGCACTCAGATTAGTTGTTTTAAAAGTCTGCTCTGGCTGCAAGGAACAGAATGGGGAGGAGGAAATCAGAGAGGACAGGCACAGAAAGGCCACTTTGGTCCCCTGGAGTGAGGACTGGAGGGAGGGGTAGCAGTGGAGATGCAGAAGGAGGCAAAGAGGACAGAATTTGGTTGCTGACTGGAAGGAAGAGAAGAATCCAAGGTCACTCTCAGGTTGTTGACTTGAGCAACAGGGTGTTTGCAGGGGCCACATGGGGAGATCCAGAACAGGGAGAAAGGCCCAGACTTAAGAGGAGATCCTGAGTTCATCCCTGGAAATTGGTCCACTGTGTATGGTTACCTCATTTGCCTCAACCCCACCTCCCTAAAGAAGTTCCTCAGGTGGCCACATTTCAGGTCTTTCCTTGGTGACAGCCAACTGGAGAAGAGTGAGTATGTGACCCGTGTGCCGTCCATTCATTGGTCAGCTGCTGAACCATAAAGTGACTGGTCCAAAAGGGGAACTTGGTAACCAGACCTCTCTCCCAGGAACCCGGACCCAGACTGAAGAATTCAAAGAGGTCAAAGCACATGACAGCAGACAGCACAGACGACAGACCACGAGCTGTGCTTAGAGTCAGAGAGGCCCCCAAGCGGCCTTGGTTCCTCTAGAGTGCCAATCTTGGGTCTAAGTGTTCTTACAGAAGTGGGTTTGCACAGTGCCCCATCCTTGCACTAAATGGATGATGCCTTTGTTCTGACTAAAACAAACACTTAATTAAGAGCTCAGACTTCAGCATGCTGCCCGCTGGCCAGCCTCTGCTCGTCAGCCTCTGACTGTGTGTCCTTGGGCAAGTCACTGAACCACTCTGTGCTTTGGTTTCCGTGCGTGTAAAGGGACTGGTAGATAGCAGGACCCAGTTCATGGCGGGTGATGACTTAGTGTGTTAATGCATGCACTAAAGTACTCAGGCCATGACAGTGCACACAGTAGGAGCACTGCAAGCATTAGCTATTGTGGTAGCTATTCCTGTTCCTAATAGAACGGGAAGAAAAATGACTCTTCGTTGGCAGTCTACCCTTCAGTCTTATGCTGCAGTGGGGAACTGGGCTCTCCAGCCCCCCCAGGCTGATTCTGCAGCGCCAAGATCCCAGCAGCCACAGGCACTAAGGGCAGTGGGGGAGGGGAGGCACTGCCAAGCCTCCATGTTGGCTTCAACCTGAATTCCCCGCCCCACTGCCTGCAGTGCTGGGCTCTGGCTGAGTGCTGGGGGGTGGGGAGGGGTGGAGGTGGGGCGCGGGGTACAGCTGCTTGAGAGGCTGAGATGCCCTGCGCCTGCAGGTGGCTGAAGCCACCTGGAAGGAGGTGGTGTACTTTAAGCAACCGATGCCAGCAGTGTTCCTGATCAAGGCACTGCTGACACTGTAGCTCTCAGACCCTTACTGGCCAGACCTACTGTGGCTTGGAGAAGGAACCAACTGGAACCTTCTGGAACTGGGACTTCCCAGTCTGAGAACATGAAGCCAGTGCGGGGCACATGAAAGCACCTGGCTAGGTTCTTGTGATTAGAAGCCCTAGATTTGGTGTCAGGCAGACCTGAGTTCAAATCCGGGCTCTGACAGGCATACACAATGCCTTCGTCTGTAAAATCGGGGTGAGTGTCTACCTTCAAGGGTAGGACTGTAGCAGTGGTAGGAGGAGGAATACAAAAGGAGCAGGGTTACAAATGGTCATCAACCAGGTGTAGGGAAGCGTGTCATAATTCTAGCTGCCCAGGATGCTGAGGCAGGAGGATTGCAAGTTCAAGGCCAGCCTGGGCAACTTAGCAAGACTCTGCCTCAAATTGAAGTGTCAAAGGACCAGACACCAGTGGCTCACACCTGTAATCCTCGCTACTCAGGAGGCAGAGATCAGAAGGATCATGGTTCAAAGCCAGCCTGGGCAAATAGTTCTTGAGACCCTATCTGGAAAAAAACTCATCACAAAAATGGGGGCTGGTAGAGTGGCTCAAGGTGTAGGCTCTGAGTTCAAACCCCAGTACCAAAAAAAAAAAAAAAACAACAAAACCAAACAAACTATAAAAGGACATAACTTAGTGGTAGATTGCTTGCCTTGCATGTCTGGGGCCCTGGGTTTTGTCCCCAACACTACAAAAATAATCACCATAGGGCTGGGTATGTAGCTAGTTGACACTGAGCACCTGCTAGGGATATTCAGACTCTTTTTTATTCCCAGTCCTGCAAGGGAACTCCTGGCAGGGTGAGGAGGGTCATGACACAAAAAGCAGGTAACTGAGAAGAGGTTAGTATGTGTGTTTTGCACAAAGGTGTAGGATGCGTCTAGACAAACCAACCAGGGTGGACTGGTCTGAAGAGGAGGGGGCAGGGAGTGGGTAGCAGACCTGGATAGAGAGCTGCCTAGAGCAGCTACTGTGACAGAGGAAGAGTGGGACCAGACATCTGAGAAAGGGTGGGTGTCCTCCCAGAGCCACTTCACGGGGATGTGGCAGTTAGGATGTAAAGTGCTCAGAACAGCTTCCACCTGTGGCTATCCTGAAGGAAGGAGCTAGGTATGATGGGCTGAATAGTGACCCTCCCCAAAGACCCACACCCTATCCCTGGCATCTGTGAATATACCCTGTGCCTGGTGCAGGGGCCTTTGCCACTGTAAGTGAAGGACCTTGCGGTAGGGAGGTGACCCTGGATCATCTGGATGGCTAGTGTCACCACAGGCTGCATAAAAGTGGGAGGCAGGAAAGCTAGAGCCAGAGAAGGAGAGGTGACAACAGAAGCAAGGTCAAGAGAAAAGAGAGACGGGCTCAACCTGCCATTGCTGCCTGGAGTTGGAGGAAGGAGAGCGTGTGGCCCTGGCGACACTGAATGTTAGTCCCTGCTGGACTCTGACCTCCAGAACTGAAAGAACATCAGTTTCTGTTGCTCTAAGCCACTGAAGCGTGTAACAGTTCGTCACAGCAGCCACAGGAGTCAAATACAGCAGGGGAATAAATAGACCATCTCCCTCTCTCCTGGCTAAGCCAACCCGCAGAGCCCACTGATAAAATCACACACAGATCAGCCTTCTGGGCTGAAAGCAGGGTGAGGCAGCTGGGACATTTTGAGGCATCAGCTGTAAAATCATTGCTCTATTTTACAGAGGTGGCCACTGAGACACAGAGAGGCTAGGTTACTCATCCAAGGTTGCACAGCAGGTCAGCACAGAGCCAGTGGTCGTACAGATTAAGTAACACCAGCACAGGCTTAGCGGCCCTAACCCAAACTCCCAAATGCTCCAAGATTGGAAACATTTTGTTCTTTGATATGAAGACACAAGTAACAAAGTTCCACATCTGACTTCATGAGGTGGGGCAGTCACAACGCAGGTGCACTCAAAATACTGTACAATGTTACCTTCAGTGGCTCAAGCCTGTCATCCTAGCTACTCAAGAGTGAAGATTGGGAGGATGGTGGTTTGAGGCCAGGCCAGGCAAGTTAGCAAGACTCCATCTCAACCAAAAGCTGGGCATCCTCTGAATTCCAGTGGCTGTTCCCAAGACTTCCTTGTCCCACTGCGTTTTCCTCCCGCAAGTGGCAAAAGCCTCTCTGTTACCTCTTTCCCTTCTGTGCCCATGGCAGACATCACTCATCGATCCCGGAGCCCTTTCCTTCTGAGCCTCGGTCCCCTTTACAAAATGAGCCACAGAGAGTCAAAATCATCACGGCCACCCTTCCCCGGGGAGAAGCAGCCAAAATGACTTTCCCCCCCCTCTGGTGACATTTACATGAAAACCGCCCCTAGGGAAGCTGTGAACAGAGCAACAGGAAATTACTGTGATGCCACCACTTCTGGTGGGCAGGATAAAACCATGCAAACAATTATAAAGGTGGGCGACAGAAATGCCAACCTCAGGCTCCGTGAGCAACGTCTCCCCCTCCCCCGGCACCATCACGGTGACTGCGGCTCCAGCCGGTGCCTACCTTGGACTTGACGGCCAGGATGATCTTGGGCAGGACCACAATGAGGCACTTGAGGGTCACAGTGATGTACTTGAGTATGAAATCTGCAATCCCCACGATCCACAGCAGGTCGAAGAAATCCAGCGTCTCCAGGTTGGGCTTCAGGAATATAAGGCTGGGGGCAGAGGGGGGGGACAGCCAAGCAGCTCACTCAGAGCCGGGTCCTCAGCAGCTCTTCCTACTCACCTGGGAGCCTTGTAGCTATTACTATAGTTACTATAGCAAGAGTGCCAACGTCTGGTTCACACCTGCTGTGTGACCGCAGGTGGCTCTCTTAACCTCTCTGAGCCTCCATCCCCTTGTGGGCTACATGAAGATTGGCCTAGACCACCAGTTAGGGCCCCTCCAGTATTATGGATTTACAATAGTCTTTAGGAAAGGAGGCAAAGGGAAGAGAGAAGGGAAGAGAGGAGGCAGATAACCCTTCACAGGACAGAGGGAAACTGAGATGCCAGGAGGCATGGGGCCAACCTCTGTACTGAGCATAGGTCATTAAATCTTTGCAGCAGTCCTTTGCAGGGAGCGACACTTCTCTCCATAAGGGAGATCTGAAGCCCACGGTCACGTTACAATAGCTCGAGGGCATTAGTTTCCAGGCTGACTTGCGTTTGAATGCAGCCTTCTCCATTTGCTGGATCCTGAGTGGATAAAGTTATCTCTGGATGAAGCCTCAGTGTTCTCATCAATGAAACGGGAGCCATTCCCCTCTTATAGCTACTGTGACCCTGATGAGATCATAGAGGTAGTGGAGGCCCTGCCGTGCAGAAGCGATGATGAAAACTCCAGGCACTTTTATTCAACCAAGAAGGAGACCGAGGCACAGAGGGTCAAGGAACAAGCACGAAGCCCTTTGAGTATTAAGGAACAGAGGTGGATAGGGACCCAGGCACCCAGGCTGCAAAGACTGCTGTCACTCAATCCTTGCTGGGCAACCCCACCTCTTGGGCCCACAACTGGGCAAGGCGACCCTCACACTCAGTCCCTGCCCTTACCTCACTGGAGACAGACAGCAAAGGTTTTCAAACCAGCATTGGTCCACAGGGCACTCTGAGTAGCACCGCTCCCCAATGTCCCGGGAGTGGTGTCACAATTGCATATTGGCAGCAGCAAACTATCTAGGTTCCTTACAGCAGGCTGGCCTTGCTCTGTGGATGTCACACAGCCTAACAAAGTCCATTTTCCCTAAGACCGTGAGGAGGTAGGGAAGAGCTGAGGACGCTGGGGCACTGAGCAGCGGAAAGGGAATCAGCGCCCTGCCTGGACAGGAGGCGTCCAAACGCCGCCCGGCAGAGGGTACAGGATGAGGCCTCTTTGCAGGAATGACACTCCACTTCCTTCCTGTCCTCTGTGGACAGCAGGAGTAGGGCAAACTCAGCGACAAGAACCCACTCTGCCAGTTGTTCATGGCACCGTCCCTGTCCTTCCACACTCCAGCGCCAGCCGTGGGTTTCCTCACCTCCCAGCTTGGGAGCCATTCACGTAACACAGGGAGGGTCACAGCCCTGGTGTCCCCCTCTGGCTCTGCTCCTGCCTGTCCCTGGGGATCCCCCTGGTTGGTACCCACATTCTGCCAGATCTATGGTTCTGCGACTGCCTCATGTGGAGCATTCAGTTCTCCTCTCTGGGTTGACTCTGTAGTCGTGGTGTCTTTTCTCCTTTTGCCTTTGGTGATAGGGAGTGGGACGGAAGTGATGGTGGCCATGTGTCTTCCCACAGGCTGGTCAAGTTCAAGTTCATTTATGCACTTTAACGGGTTGATATGTTTTATTATTAGTTTTGCTCATGAGGCACCGCTACCAATAACTATAGCAATTAATCCTAAAATAATATTAGCTATGATTATACACCAGACGTTTCTTGGTTCACCCTGTACTTGCAAGTGCACTGTGACATTGGCCTTCCTACTTAACCTGCTTAGGTGGAGCAAGCAGAGAATGACCTTGGCCCCAGTTTCAGCAGGTGGAAGCCAGGGAAAGATCAGAGGTTCCATTTATTTGACACAGGGTGGAGAGAAGGGGTTCTGATAGTGGTGATCAGACTTCAAATCCTGAGAAGGGTCAAAGGGTCAAGGGCTGCTCCAGGTCCAAGACTCCCTAGGAAGGTGCAGAGGTTTGTCCCCATGGCTTTGTGTGTTGGGAGCTTGGAACTCAGTGTGGTGATGTGAGAGGTGGCAGGGCTGAGTGGGAAGATGCTTCAGGTCCCTCCTCGCTCTACCGTCTCCCCATGTGATCTCTCTCTCTCTCTCTCTTTTTCTCCTGCACGTTCCTGCCTGTCACAATGCCATCTGCCACGGGGTTCCTCCCCAGAGCCAAGCCATGGCCAGTGCCATGTATTGCAACTCGAGAACTGTGAGCTCCAAGAACCGCTTTTCCTCAGAAAGCACCCAGCTTCAGGCACTTCATTACAGTATCAGAAGCACAAACGGATCCTAACGGGCCTCATGAGATCTAGTTCCACACCTGCGAAGTGGGGCTAGCTCTAGCCTGCTGGCTCACGGGGAGGGCACAATAAGGTGATGGTGTCACTTACAGACACACTGTAGACTGGTGGCAAGAAAAAAGACCAGGACTTGGCTCTGCTTGCTTTTCTCTTGTGTCCCTCCCTCCCTCCCTCCTTCTCTGTCTCTCTCTGCGGCCAGTTTGACTCAGCCTGGCTTGATGGAGGCACCGAGGTCTGAGCCTGGCACGGGATGCAGCCCAGAACACGGCACTCGTGGGAAGTCCATCCAGGCTTCCGGGAAGCTGAGCCTCCTCCGCCCTCCAGCAGGACCTTGACATTCTGGACCATGCAACTAAAGCCGGGTGAGAGCTGCGTGCTGACGCCCTGGGCCAAATCCCCACACTGCTTCAACGGGAAGTCCCAAACTACTCACTCTTCCAATTCATTTTCAAAATGGGTCAATGTCATCAGCAAACTTAACTTGAGTTTCTTTTGTGGCAGTACTGGGGTTTGAACTCAGGACCTCCCAGTTGCTAGGCAGGAGCTCTACAGCTTGAGCCATGCTGCCAGCTGTGTTTTTCAGATTGGGTCTTGTGCTTTTGCCCAGACTGGTATCAGACTATGATCCTCCTACCCCTGGCTCTGGAGTAGCTGCAACTACAGGTGTGCTTCATTACACCTGGCTTGGTGTTGAGATGGAGTCTTGCTAACTTCTTGCCCGGGCTGGCCTAGAACCACTATCCACCCAATCTTTACTTCCTCAGTAGCTGGCACTACAGGCGTGAGCCACTGTGCCTGGCCTGACTTGAGTTTCTACCACATCTGGAAGTCCCTACCAGCCCCAGGAAAACCTTCCTGATGGTTCCCCAACACTACAATACCATTTTGGTAATGATCATGTTAAGTCATTCGATAATAACTGATTTTTTCCCCAACTGTGGTAAAACACACATGACATAAAATCTCCCCCGACCTTTAGATGTGGACAGTTCAGTGGCCCTGAGTGCGTGCACACGGTTGTGTAGGTGTCACCACCACCCACGTTCTGAGGTCTCTGCATCTTTCATTAAACAGTAACTTCCATGTCCCCTGTCCCAGTCCCTGGCCACCACTATGCTGCCTTCCATCTCCATGAGTTTAACTATCCTTAGGACTATCATAAGGAGAATGATGCAGGGTTTGTCTTTGTCACTGGCTCATTTCAGTTCATAAAATGTCCTCACAGTTCACAGCAGGTGTCTGAATTTCCTTCCTTATTCAAGACTGACTAATATTCCCTTGCATGGACACAGACTGTTCCCTTCACTCGTCTGTCAGTGATGCGTGGGTTGCTTTGACCTTTTGGCTGCTGTGTGATGATCATGTTTAAATATTTTTCATGGCAAAAGGCAAGCTGGGGTCTCCATGGTGGACCCCCAAGTTTTGTTTCAGGGATGCTTCGCTGACTTGTGAAATCTCAGTTCTGGGATTCATAAGCTTTGGTGTCTGGTGTAGCTGTGTGTATCTACCCGGCTACCCTCAGTCCCCTCTACAAGCAGCCCTCAAGTAGCTGACTTTTGGGGCATCTGCGGGCCTGGGGCCCTCGATTCTGAGACGTGCTTGCTGCTGTCCTGGGGAAGCCATTCTCTCTGCACTGGGCTTTGTGGTCACAGCTGTGGGCAGGAGTAGGAGTCTGACCCACGCACAGCCAATCAAAGGCTCGCCTTGAATTTTAAAAGAGAAATAGGAAGTGCCAGAGAGAAGCTAAACCATGCTCTGAGTGCCTCAGTGACATCCAAACGAATGTCCGTGGATTCTGTCCAATCTGGGCTCCTGCCCGTCTCAGTCCCAACTGTTCAGCCTGTTTTAGAATTGAGCGAGTCCCGGGACAGAGCAATGTCCTTCTTCCTCCCTCCCTCCCTCTCTTCCTTCCTTCCTTCCTATTTGGGCTTGAAGCAGGCGCTCCATCCTTTTGCTCTGCTTATTTTGAAGCTGGGCTCTTGTGAACAATTTGCCTGTGTTGACCTTGAACTGTCATCTTCTCCATCTCAGCCTCTCGAGTAGCTAGGATTACAGGCGTGAGCCACCAGACCTGGCTGTATGTTTTCTTAATATAGGCCCAGCATCACTAATCTGCAAATCTAAAATCTGAAATGTTCCAAACTCTAAAACTTTTTGAGCAAAGGTGATTTTGAAGCATTTTGGAGCTTGGATTTCCTGATTAGGGATGCTCAATGGGTGAAGTCTAGGCAAATATTCTAAAACTCAGGCCAGGTATGATGGGTCACATCTGTAATGCCAGTTACTCAGGAGGTAAATTGGGAGAACTGCAGTTCAAGGCTTAGGCAAAAAGTTAGTGAGATGCCATCTCAACCAGGATGCCCTTCATGGTGGTGCATGTGTGTAATCCCAGCTATGTGGGAGGCATAGGGCCCACCCTGGACAAGACCCTATCTGACTGAACAGAAGGGAGGGAAGAACTAAGGAAAAGGTTTTTGGCTATTTTGGTGGTACTAGGATTTGAACTCAGGGCCTTGTGCTTGCTAGGTAGGCGCTCTACCACTTAAGCCACTCCCTGGGTCCTTAAGAAAAGTTTTGTGTCTTCAACCACCCGGGAGGGGTGGCTCGGCGCCTATGGATCTGCAGGAAAGCTTCCCTGCTTTGAAAGGCTTTCCAGGTGTCTGGCAGCCAGGGGACAGGGATAGTTTAAGAAAGCTGACAATAAATCAGAGCTAAGCAATCCATCCAATTTCTCTGGTTCTGCCTTACCACCGCCACCACGGTGCATGGAACTCTCAATCAATCAGTCACACGGGAAGAGGGTCCCCGGCTGATGTGACATGCATTGGGGTGGGGGCGGGGAGCATACAGTTCTTGCACAAACCAGATGGGGCAGACATTTTCAGCCCTTAACATTAAAAAAAGAATTTCTATTATTATGAAAAGTCTCTATTAAATTTATAAAATATACATAATTCTAAAGAAAAGAGTAAAATTGCCCACATATCTGATATCCAGGACCACAATTAATATCTGAGGTCAGGAGTTCACAAACATTTCTTGTGAAAGACTAGATATTAAGCTGGGTGTGGAGGCTCACACCTATAATCCTGGCTACTTGGGAGGCAGAGAGTGGGAGGATTGTGGTTCAAGGAGAGCTTGGGCAAAAAGTCAGTAAGACCCCATCTTGACCAATGGCTGCCTGTGGTTGCACATGGCTGTTGTCCCAGCTATGTGGGGGAAGTATAAACAGGAGGATCACAGTCCAGGATGGTGCATGCATAAAACAAGACCCTATCTCAAAAAGAACCAGTGCAAAAAGAGCTGGCAGGGTGGCTCAAGTGGTAAAGCACCTGCCTTGCAAGTGTGAGGCCCTGAGTTCAAACCCCAGTATCATCCACCGATAAATAAGTTGAGATATTAAATATTTTTGGTTGGTGGACTGCACAGTTTCTGTCCAAATACGCTATCAGTGCAAAAGCATCATTTACCACATGTAAATGATGGATGCGGTTGGATCCTATAAAATGCAATTAATAAAAGGAGGTGGATGGCCGTAGTCTGCCAGCGCTGTTTTCGTGCAGGTCTAGGGATTTTTTAAAATGTAGACATATGGGTTTGGAGCTGTGGCTCAAGCGGTAGAGCAGTTGCTTTGCAAGCATGAGACCATGGGTTCGACCCCCAGTACCGCCAAGAGAGAAAAAAGTAAATATACATCAAAGTAACTTTAACAAGAATTACCTTCACACGCAGAGAAAAATCAAAGAGAGCAACTGTCTAAAGGGTGGTAAGCAGGTCCTGGTCTCCACCACCGCAGGGACAGCGCGTCCTGGGAGCAGCCACACGGTGCCGCCAGTGGCTTTGGGCACCTGCAGCGACACCACTGCAGGGGAACAGACGCAGCTTCATGCGTGCAAAACGAACGCACAGCATCTCACTAAGCGCCTCTACTGCTGGCATACGGAAATGACAACATTCTCAACACACAGTCGTCCCCGAACAAGGGGGCTCCAGGATCCCCTGTGGGGACGCCCCAAGGACGCTCAGGTCCCTTGGA